CCCTGTTTGTTACAGGGGGTAATGGGACTTGGGCTGGGTGCAAGGAGGGACTGTTCCAGGAGCCGTACACCCACATAGCTCTCGACGGTTTTCATCCTCCAGCAAAGGCCAACATTAAACTCCGTCACCAACAGACTATTTACAGGGCTGGAAACATAACAAAGCAAAGTGCATGCAGCAGAACCTGAGAAGATACAGTGCTGGGGCCTTTGGGGGACTGGAGATAGCAAAGGTCCTGTCATGGAGGCCCTTAGGTAATCAGCAGCGCCTGGATTTCAGGGCATGGAACTGCCAGCCAGCAAATCGCCTCTCCCCCTGTGTGTGTGAGGGGGGTGCTCGGAGTCAGCACCTGTCTCCCAGCTGGTGCCTGCTCCAGCCGGAGCTCAGCCTTTCGCCAGGCCAGGATGAGACCACGGGCGTTTCAGTTTCCTTTCCCTTTGCTGCAGCACTGGTGCCTACCCTAGCGGAGGTGGACCTGCACCTGTGCTCAGCCCTGTCCCTGTGGGAAACTTCTCCTGATGGTTTGGAGCCCCAGACTTGCACAGGTGCAGAGGGGCTGCCCCCCAGCCCTGCCTGGCAGCCCCGCCTGGCAGCCCCGTCGGGTGGGGGGTTGGGGGGGGCAGCAAGGCTGCTCCCCCAATTCCCTAACCTCTGATCAGATCCAAACTGTATGTTAGGGGGTGTGGGTCAGTACTGAGGAGCATCAGCAGAGCTGCGTGTGGATGGGGAGTCTCGGGCTAGAATACCAGAGAGGCTGCCAGGTGGGGCCCGGGAGGGGCGGAGGAGCATCACCAGGCAGGGCTGGATGGGGGCATCTGGCAGGGCAGATGCAGGGGCAAGGACACCAATGGGCAGACCTGGGGGGAAGGTGCGGCTAGGCAAGGCTGGGGGGCAGGAGGAGGGGAAGAGCTGCTGTAATAGGCAGGGGGCAGGCAGGGCAAGAAGGGATGCTGGGGGGCCAGGGGACCGGTCAGGCAGGGCTGTGGGGGGAGGTGGAGGGGCAGGGCTGGGGTAATAGGCAGGTCTTGGGGGGCAGGCGGGGCTGGGGGGGGCAGTGCTGAGGGGGAGGCAGGTCAGGGAGGGGGCCGAGGGAGAAGGGGTACTGCCAGCTGGGGCTGTGAGGCCTGGGAGGGAGGTAGGGTGGGGGGGAGGTGGAGGGGCAGGGCTTGGGGGGCAGGCGGGGCTGGGGGGCAGGTGGGGCAGGAAGGGGGGGGGGGGCGGGGGGGAGGGTAGGGTGGGGGCAGGTGGAGGGGCAGGGCTTGGGGGGCAGGCGGGGCTGGGGGGGCAGGTGGGGCAGGAAGGGGGCGGGGGGCCGGGAGGGAGGTAGGGGGGGGCAGGTGGAGGGGCAGGGCTGGGGGAATAGGCAGGGGACAGACGGGGAGAGAAGGGGGCGGGGGGGCCGGGGTGGGAAGTAGTGTGGGAGCAGGAGGAGGGGCAGGGCTGGGGGAATAGGCAGGGGGCAGGCGAGGCGGGAAGGGGGCTGGGGGGCCTGGGGTAGGTAGGGGGGCAGGTGGAGGGGCAGGGCTGGGGGAATAGGCAGGGGGCAGACGGGGCGGGAAGGGGGGGGGGGGCCAGGGTGGGAGGTAGGGTGGGGGCAGGTGGAGGGGCGGGGGGGATAGGGGGGGCAGGTGGGGCAGGAAGGGGGGGGGGGCCGGGGGTAGGTAGGGGGGGCAGGTGGAGGGGCAGGGCTGGGGGAATAGGCAGGGGGCAGACGGGGCGGGAAGGGGGTGGGGGGGCCGGGGTGGGAAGTAGGGTGGGAGCAGGAGGAGGGGCAGGGCTGGGGGAATAGGCAGGGGGCAGGCGAGGCGGGAAGGGGGCTGGGGGGCCTGGGGTAGGTAGGGGGGGGCAGGGGGGGGCAGGGTGGAGGGGGGCAGGGCTGGGGGGTGGGGAATAGGCAGGGGGCAGACGGGGCGGGAAGGGGGTGGGGGGGCCGGGGTGGGAAGTAGGGTGGGAGCAGGAGGAGGGGCAGGGCTGGGGGAATAGGCAGGGGGCAGACGGGGCGGGAAGGGGGTGGGGGGGCCGGGGTGGGAAGTAGGGTGGGAGCAGGAGGAGGGGCAGGGCTGGGGGAATAGGCAGGGGGCAGGCGAGGCGGGAAGGGGGCTGGGGGGCCAGGGGAGAGGTAGGGTGGGGGCAGGTGGAGGGGCGGGGCTGGGGGGGCAGGTGGGGCAGGAAGGGGGCGGGGGGGCCGGGGGGGTATGTAACAAGAGGCGGTAGCAGAGCACGCAGCTGGTGGGTAGTTTCCCTGCAGCCAATCAGCAAGTGTCTTGCCTCCCTTAGCAACAGCGAGCGCACCAATGGGTGGCAGCGGGGCTCCCCCCACACCCCGCCCGTGGCCCGGGGATCCCCAGCCAGGAGGGGTCACTCCAGGGCCCTGCCCGTCCTGGGGAGCCGGCCCGAGCCGGCGTCTGCGGGACCCTCCTCCTGCCGGAGACTGCCCGGCCCCAGCGCCCCTGAGCTGGCCCCACAGCCAGGCCCCCTTGCGGGAGGGCGGCGAGGGGCGCACGGTGCAGTGAACCCAGACCCTGAGAGCAGCCCAAGTCCCTGCCATGCTGGGCACCCCTCGCCCCCGGCCGGCCAGCTCAACCGCGGCACGGCACCCATCGCCCCCGGCCACCCAGCTCAGCCGCGGCACGGCACCCCTCGCCCCCGGCCACCCAGCTCAGCCGCGGCACGGCACCCCTCGCCCCCGGCCACCCAGCTCCGCCGCGGCACGGCACCCCTCGCCCCCGGCCACCCAGCTCCGCCGCGACACAGCACCCCACAGCCCCCGGCCAACCAGCTCCCCCCCCCCCCGGCCACCCAGCTCAGCGGCACGGCACCCCTCAGCCCCGGCCACCCAGCTCAACCGCGGCACGGCACCCATCGCCCCCGGCCACCCAGCTCAGCCGCGGCACGGCACCCCTCGCCCCCGGCCACCCAGCTCAGCCGCGGCACGGCACCCATCACCCCCGGCCACCCAGCTCAGCCGCGGCACGGCACCCTCGCCCCCGGCCACCCAGCTCCGCCGCGGCACGGCACCCCTCGCCCCCGGCCACCCAGCTCCGCCGCGGCACGGCACCCCTCGCCCCCAGCCACCCAGATCAGCCGCGGCACGGCACCCCACAGCCCCGGCCACCCAGCTCAGCCGCGGCACGGCACTCCCTCGCCCCCGGCCACTAAGCTCAACCGTGGCACGGCACCCCTCGCCCCCGGCCGGCCAGCTCAGCCGCGGCACGGCACCCCTCGCCCCCGGCCGGCCAGCTCAGCCGCGGCACGGCACCCCCTCGCCCCCGGCCACCCAGCTCCGCCGCAGCACGGCACCCCTCGCCCCCGGCCACCCAGCTCCGCCGCGGCACGGCACCCCTCGCCCCCGGCCACCCAGCTCAGCCGCAGCACGGCACCCCTCGCCCCCGGCCACCCAGCTCAGCCGCGGCACGGCACCCCTCGCCCCCGGCCGGCCAGCTCAGCCGCGGCACGGCATCCCTCAGCCCCGGCCACCCAGCTCAGCCGCAGCACGGCATCCCCAGCCAGCTGGCTTAGCTGCAGCACTAAGGGCTCTTCAGTCTGGCAGAGACGTCCAGAACCAGAGCCCCCGGCTAGACACTGCAGCTGGACAAATCCCAATTAGAAATAAGGTCCCGATGTTTAACCATGCAGGTGCTTCACCCGTGGATTCCCCTTCGCTTGAAGGCTTCCCATCCACCCTGGGGCCCTTCGGGGGGATGCCATGGCTGAACACAAGTTACTGGGCGCAGTGCGGCGGTGGCTGGGTAAAATCCTCTGGCCAGGGCTTCGCGGGAGGTCCGACTAGCGCTCCGAGGTCCTGTCTGGCCTGGAGTCCTGTGGGGCGGTGCTGTGGTGTGGGCTTGCTCGGTTAGCGCCCTGTGGCTGCCTTCTCTCGGATCAGTGCCGCCAGGCGCAGTGAGTCCTGTCCGTTCGGGTTGGGTTCTCTCTGTGCAGGGCGGTGCTGTTGGGTCAGGCTGGAGATCTCTCTGTATCAAAGCCTCTGGGTTAGTGCCCAGGCTTTGAGTTGGGTTCTTGAGGGGGTTAGCACCTGTAACAGTTCTTACCTTGCCAGCATTGCTGCCTCAGTTTCCCTTCTGGTTTACATCTTGCTCTTGTAGTGGGGCAATTATGGCCTCAGTTTCCCTCCTCTCAGAGTAGTTTGGCCCTTGAGCCAAACTAACAACCCTTCACTTCTGGGGGAGCCAATAGGACCAAAACAAAACAGCCCTTTATTGACTTTCCTGAGCCCCAGTTGCCCTCCATCGCCTCTCCAGCCCCAGTCCCCTCCCAGACACTGGGGGAGCTGCTCCGTGGCCATCCCCGGCCCCAGTCCCCCCACAGACACTGGGGGAGCTGCTTCATGGTCCTCCCCACCCCCACACAGACACTGGGGGAGCCGCTCCATGGCCAGCCGCAGTCCCCCCGCCTCAGACACCCGGGAAGTTGCTCCATGACCCTCCCTGCCCCCCTCCCTCCAACGCAGGGCAAATGGCTCTCTCACGCTAACTAGCCTTTTACACACGCTGTAGTATGGCAAAGCCATCCCTGCAGTCTCCCTTCCAGGGGCCCCTGTCTCCTGCCTGCCTGGATGCAGGGGGGTTCCTCGCACCTCTGCTGGGAGCCCTGGGCTGGGCCCCCATCAGGAAGCTCCCCCTGGGTTCCCATCCCAAGCCCCCTTCCCATAGCCTCCCCCAGCTCCTGTCAGAGCCCACTGGTCCCTGAGCCTTCCTCCCCCCAGCCACTCCAGGGCTGCCTCCCTGCTCCAGCCTAGCTCCCCTGGTGCCATCACAGGGTCCCGCTCTGTCCCACGACCTGCGAGGACACCAGGCATGGGGGGCGGGGGCGGTGTGCAGCTGAGCTCCCCGCACTGTGGGGATCAGGGGGGCTCTGGGGCGGGCAGCCAGCCTGCAGTTCTTGCTACGGAGGTGGGTGCTGCATGGGGCCGGCAGGCGCTGGGTGCTCGGGGCAGGCTAGCTCTTACCCCCTCCCCTGTCGCTCTGTCCTCTCTCCAGCTGCAGGAGGCTCCTGGGTGCAGCGCGGCCTGTGGGGAGTGGGGGGGGCGTGGGGCATCTGACCCCCGCCAGGAGCGCCGCGAGCCATGACTTCAACTGTGCAGACGCTACGGTTCAAGCTGCTGCCGCACGGCACCGAGCAGGAGTGGGGGCACAGCTGCCAGCAGCAGCTCGAGCGCCGGTACCAGGTGGTGCCCTCGGCCGTGTGCGCCATGTGCTGCGTCTTCGGGATCATCTACTGCTTCTTCGGTGAGTTGGGCGGGGCCGGGCGGGCCGCCTCGGCTGTGCCACAGGGGCAGGGAGTGTGGGGAGCGGGGCACGAGATGGGGGCTCGGAGAGCGAGGGTGACGGGGAGGGCTGGCCAGAGAGTGGCAGCAATAAGCGGCATGCTTTGCAGCCCTTCCGTCCCCTGTACATGTGGGGACACTGAGGCGCAGGGGTGGGGCCGGCCTCCCTCCAGCTTACAGCGAGTCAGTGGCAGAAGTGAGAAGTCCTGGTGCCCAGCCATGCTGCTCGGGCCCACTTGAGCCCACTTCTCTGTGCCCTCCCGGAGCCGGAGAGCAAGCCCGGGGCCCCTGGCTCCCAGCCTGTGTTCCTCCCCACAGCCCGGGAGAGCGAGCGGATGGGGCTGAGGCCGAGTTGGGGGAGAGGAGCCTGGGGCTGGGGGCAGGGCCAGGGCCAGGGCAGCAACTCCCAGCTGAGGCTCCAGTCTGACCCTCAGAGCTCAGGGGTTCGGGCACCACAGTGATGGGCATTGCCCACGAGGGCCCGGGAGTGGGAATTCGTTCTGCCATGGACTCGACGTAATTCTCCATGTGGTGTCATTTTATCACGTGCTGAAAGCCGCCGGCTCGTCAGCCAGGCCGTCACGCGGTGTTTAACGCCGCCGAGCCGCAGCCAGCATCTCTGGCCGAGCGCATCTGTGCTGCGCCAAGACTGCCTGCGGCGAACCCTGGCGCTGCCCCCCCAGCAGGAGCCCCCCTGCCTTCGGGGGGCTCCTGCCAACGCTACGTCCCCGCTGGCCGGGCAGTGACCAGCCCGGCTCTCCCTAGGCTACCGCTGCTTCAAGGCCATCATGTTCCTGACCGGGCTGATGTTTGGCTCCATCGTCATCTTCATGCTGTGCTACAAGGAGCGGGTGCTGGACACGCAGCTGAGCGTGGAGGCCTCGGTGGGCATCGGGCTGGGCATCGGGGCGCTGTGCGGGCTGGTCACCATGCTGGTGCGCAGCGTTGGGCTCTTCATGGTGGGGCTGCTGCTGGGGCTGCTGCTGGCGCTGGCCACGCTGGTGGCCATGGAGCAGTTCTACCACCCGCCCACGGTGTGGGTCCCCATCGGGCTGCTGCTGGGCGTGGGCATGCTCGGCGCCGTGCTCACCCTGCAGTGGCAGAAGCTCTTCACCACCCTCTCCACGGCCGTCTTCGGCAGCGCCGTCATGACCGTCACCGTCGACTACTTCACGGAGCTTCTGCTGCTGCTGCAGTACGTCTACGAGCGCGTCCAGGCGGCGCCCGCCCGGCCCATGTGCTGGTACAGCTGGGTCATCCTGGGCGTCTGGCCCGTCCTCGCCACGCTGGGCGTGCTGGTGCAGTGGAGAGTCACGGCCGAGGGGTACTCCCACACCGAAGGTGCGGCGGGACGGGCAGGCGAGGGACACGGGGAAGGTGGGATCAGAGGTGGTGGGTGGTGTGGGTGGTTCACGGGCTCTGAGTGATTGGGGGGTGTTGTGGGGAGGAGTCACAGCTCTCAGTCATTGGAGGGGTGACACGGGGGGCAGGGTTGCAGGGTCCGGGTACCGTGCACGGCAGGAGTGCAGGGTCCAGGTACTGTTGGGGGGGGTTGTAGGATCTGGGGGTGGGGGGGTCGCAGGGTCCGGGTGCTGGTGGAGGGGGGTGGGGTTGCAGGGTCCAGGTACCTTTGAGTGGGGGGGTTGTAGGATCTGCGGGCAGGGGGGTTTGCAGGTTCCAGGTGCCAGGGGGGGCGGTGCAAGTTCCAGATGCCAGGGCATGTGCGGGGTTGCAGGGTCTGGGTACCATGCAGGGTGGGATTGCAGGGTCCGGGTGGTGAGGGGTTGCAGGGTCCAGGTGCCATGGAGGTGCAGAACAGACCCCTCACTCCCCATCTCGCCATGCAGTGGTTATCAGCCGGCAGCAGCGCCGGGTGCAGCTGATGAGGATCAAGCAGCGGGAGGAGCGGAAGGAGAAGAAGAAGAAGCGGAGGCTGCCCCATCCCTCTCCCCACCCACACAAGGCCCACCTGCCCGAGCCCAGCTACCGACGCAAGCCAACCCCCGTGCGCCGCTTCGACGGGGACGTGCTCTCCCCCGTGAGTGCCGTGTCCCGGGCAGAGCTCTCCCCAGGCACTGGGGCTGTGTGTGGGTCAGGGGGAGGCAGGAGCCCAGCGCTCTGGGAACGGGTGGGCTTCTTCCCTGGCACCCCAGGTGGGCTCTGCCCTCCACACTCGCAGCTTCGCCTCATTCTGCCAGAAATCTTTACAGCAGAGTGAAACACAATAAACTGGGGGAGGGACTGAGCCAGCCTGCAGCCTCCTTGCCCTGTGACTTCCCCATGGGCATCAACCCCGGCTGGGGACCCTTTGCCTTCTCCCTCCAGTGTCAGGGGTTCTGGACAGAGCCTGAACCAGAACTGAACCTGCCCCACTTTCGGGGGGTGGGGGTGGGGAGAGCTTTCCCATCCCCGGTCCTCAGCTACAGCTGACGGGGGAATGCCAGGTCCTGCACCCCAGTGTGAAGGCATCAGACACCCCCAAACAGCCCCAGTGCCTGCCAGCCAAGGGAGCTTCCCAGTGAGCCGTAGCAGGGCTGTGCCAACCCCCGGGAGTTACCCGGGCCTAGACTCCCCCTGTGGCCCCACCCCTGGGGGGGGCCAGTGACAGCTGCCTTTTCTCCAGACTCCCACACGCTGCCCCAGGCCGCAGAGAGCGGGACCCATTGAGCAGAGCGGGCAGGGGAGAACCACCTGGCTGCAGGCTGGGGGGTGTAGCGGCGGCCCCACCTGCAGGGGAAGGGCTGAACTGCAGCAGCCTGGCTGGTCCTTCCCCCAGACAGGGCAGCAGAGACCCAGAGCTGGGGAAGGGGAGAGGGGCTGAGGTGGCAGCGGGAGGGCTGGGGACATGGCGCCCATTTCCCTCCTCTCTCCTCCAGAGCTACATCCAGAGCTTCCGGGAGCGGCAGACGGGTACGTCGCTGAGCAGCCTCATCACAAGTGCGCACGCCGTGGTCGACCTGGACTATGACTGCGGCTCTACCGTGCCCTTGACCATGGGCTCTGGCCCAGCTCTTCGGGTATAGCCCAGACCCCCCGACCCCTAGTGACACCAGCAGCAGGGCCCGCGCAGGGCCAGCTTGGACCGACACACAGAGCCCGCACGGACCAGCCCTCCAGTCACCCCGGGGCCCAGCCAGGGCCCACACGGACCAGCCCTCCAGTCACCCCGGGGCCCAGCCAGGGCCCGCACGGACCAGCCCTCCAGACACCCCGGGGCCCAGCCAGGGCCCGCACGGACCAGCCCTCCAGTCACCCCGGGGCCCAGCCAGGGCCCGCACGGACCAGCCCTCCAGACACACCGGGACCCAGCCAGGGCCTGCACGGACCAGCCCTCCAGTCACCCCGGGGCCCAGCCAGGGCCCGCACGGACCAGCCCTCCAGTCACCCCGGGGCCCAGCCAGGGCCCGCACGGACCAGCCCTCCAGTCACCCCGGGGCCCAGCCAGGGCCCGCACGGACCAGCCCTCCAGTCACCCCGGGGCCCAGCCAGGGCCCGCACGGACCAGCCCTCCAGTCACCCCGGGGCCCAGCCAGGGCCCGCACGGACCAGCCCTCCAGTCACCCCGGGGCCCAGCCAGGGCCCGCACGGACCAGCCCTCCAGTCACCCCGGGGCCCAGCCAGGGCCCGCACGGACCAGCCCTCCAGACACACCGGGGCCCAGCCAGGGCCCGCACGGACCAGCCCTCCAGACACACCGGGGCCCAGCCAGGGCCCGCACGGACCAGCCCTCCAGTCACCCCGGGGCCCAGCCAGGGCCAGCACGGACCAGCCCTCCAGTCACCCCGGGCCCAGCCAGGGCCAGCACGGACCAGCCCTCCAGTCACCCCGGGGCCCAGCCAGGGCTAGCACGGACCAGCCCGCCAGACACACCGGGGCCAGCAGGAGTCAGATGCCGGGGGGGGGGGAGTTTGAGGGGACTGCTGTGGCCCGTTTGGGGCAGGAAGGCTATCCCTGGGGCGGTCTGACGGGGCATGCGCAGGACCCTGCCCAGGGATCCCGAGCCGGCGAGCAATGCAGGGAGAGGGTTAATCCCACTCGTTGGCACAGACACTGCATGCTGGCATGGTACACGTGGACTCCTGGAGCAGGGTGAGCGCCCCACCGCCACACCCTGAGGGGGGCACAGCCCATGGCAGGGGTGATGAGCCACGGCCCCATGTGCCAGAGGGGCCCCAGAGCACCTGGTACTAGCCAGCTTTCTCCCAGAGGCCCCCAGGAGCAGCTCCCTGCATGCCTGCCCTTAGCCCCCCAGTGTCCCCCAAGCAGCTCAGTGAGCAGCTTCCTGAGTGCCTCTTTCCCCCACTCCCACCCCCCCAGCACAGCTCCATGGTGCCTCTTTCCCCCACTCCCACCCCCCCAGCGTAGCTCCATGGTGCCTCGTTCCCCCACTCTCCACCCCCCCAGCGCAGCTCCATGGTGCCCCTTCCCCCCTCCCACCCTCCACCCCCCCCCCCCCCCCCCCCCCCCCCCCCCCCCCCCCCCCCCCCCCCCCCCCCCCCCAGCACAGCTCCATGGTGCCTCTTTCCCCCCACTCCCACCCCCCCCCAGCACAGCTCCATGGTGCCTGTTCCCCCCTCTCAGCCCCCCCCAGCGCAGCTCCATGGTGCCCCTTCCCCCCACTCTCCACCCCCCCAGCGTAGCTCCATGGTGCCCCTTCCCCCACTCCCACCCCCCCAGCGTAGCTCCATGGTGCCTCTTTCCCCCACTCTCCACCCCCCCAGCACAGCTCCATGTTGCCCCTTCCCCCCACTCTCTGCCCCCCCCCCCCAGCGCAGCTCCATGGTGCCTCTTCCCCCCACTCTCCGACCCCCCGCAGCGCCGCCTCCATGGTGCTTGTTCCCCCCACTCTCTGCCACCCCAGCATAGCTCCATGGTGCCCCTTCCCCCCACTCTCTGCCCCCCCAGCGCAGCTCCATGGTGCCTGTTCCCCCCTCTCAGCCCCCCCAGCGTTGCTCCATGGTGCCTGTTCCCCCTCTCAGCCCCCCCCAGCATTGCTCCATGGTGCCTGTTCCCCCTCTCAGCCCCCCCCCAGCATTGCTCCATGGTGCCTCTTCCCCCCCTCTCAGCCCCCCCCCCAGCGCAGCTCCATGGTGCCTCTTCCCCCCACTCTCCACCCCCCCAGCACAGCTCCATGGTGCCCCTTTGTCACGGAGTCCCTGGGCGATGCTCTGGAACTGCTCCCCATGAAGTCAGTCAGGACTCTGGGGTAGTCGCCTTTCTGTGAGCAGCCTGTCTTCAGGACACACAGCTCACACAGCTTCCACCTTCCTGGGTCTGACCTCGGAGCATTCAGCATCCTCTGCCCCTCCGTGCGCTTCCCACAGCGAGTCCGCTCAGGCGGGGCTCCTGGGGAAGCCAGAGGGTCCTGCACCCCAACTTCGCAGTCAGACGTGACTCTCAGCCAGCCAGTAAAACAGAAGGTTTATTAGACGACAGGAACATGGTCTAAAACAGAGCTTGCAGGTGCAGAGAACGGGACCCCTCAGCTGGGTCCATTCTGGGGGGCAGTGAGCCAGACAACCACGTCTGCACTTCACTCCATGTCCCAGCCAGCCCCAAACTGAAAACCCCCCCAGCCCCTCCTCCTCTGGGCTTTGTTCCTTTCCCGGGCCAGGTGGTCACCTGATTCCTTTGTTCTCCAACCCTTCAGCTCTCACCTTGCAGGGGGGGAAGGGCCCAGGCCATCAGTTGCCAGGAAACAGGGTGTCGGCCATTCTCTGTGTCCAGGCCCCTGCACACACCTGCCCTCTAGGGCTCTGCAATGATCATACACCCTTACCCCACCCCCTAGATACTTAAGAACTGCCTAGGGGAAACTGAGGCACCCCCACACTATTCAGAGGAAACATTAAGAACAGTCCCACTTCGTCACATCTCTCCCCCCTTCGAGATCGAACTGAGCGGGGTCACTTTAGCCGGTGACCTGGGGAAGTTCGAAGCCACCAACGTTCCCATGGATGCCCCAGCATCTCTCCCATTCCTTGGTAGGAGTTACACCAGGCCCTTCCAGTTTCACGCCCTCCCTTAGGTCAGGGGTGGTTGATAGCACTCGCAGGCCGCAGGTGGGAAGGTTTATGCAGCCCATGCCCTTTGGCCACCCCAAGAATGTCTCCCCATTGACCATCACCTTCTGCTCCCACTGGAGGTCCGGGGGGGCCTGGCCCCAGGAAACTCCACACAGACATATAGGTTGGGGTCAGGAGTGGGAGCCTGTCCACCTCCCCACCCATCTGGCTGACGGAGTCTATGGCCTTGGGACCCAGCAAGGGAGCTAGACACCGGGGCTTTTCCGCAGGGTCCCCTTGGTTCAAATCTCCAGCCTGCCCAAAGGCAGTGAGGTGGGCATCCACACCCCCCCCCCTCCTTAACCAGGGGCAGCAATTTAGTCTCGAGGTTCCCTGCGGAACTGGCCCCCCGGGATCTATCCCCACTCACCCCGGGGAGGTCCCCTAGGCCTCTCCGCCCCACCACCGCCAGTTCATGCTGCTGCTGCTTCTGCAGCTCTTTCTCGGGCTCTCGCTGTCTCCCAGGGTCCTCTTGCTCTCTCAGACTCAGCTCCAATCCCGTCCGTCTCGATCCCCCGATGGGGAACCCGATCGTGAAGACCCTCGTCTGGTCGGGGACAGGAGTCTTGGCGATGCCTGGCTCCCGCTTCAGCTGCTCCCAGATCCTGCTATAGCCCCAGTTGGGGTCAGGAATCTGTTCCTTAGAGCGGTCATCCTCCTCCAGCTGCACGATTAACTCTGCTTTGGTGAACTTTCCAACGCTCAACCCTCTCTTTTTGCACAGGGTTACAATGTCCTTCTTAAGGAGACAGTGACAGGCCATCACTCCGCTCTTCCCAAGTTGTTGTGGACTCACAGGCCCGTGTGTTCTCAGCTCCCCACGGTATCCAGGGAGAACCCCTAGTGTGGCAGCCCTTCTCGAGGTCACCCCCTCTTTGTCAGGGTCGAGCTGCAGACTCCTCCGCCCCTTGGACTGCTCACTGCAGTCCCCAGGGGGACCCCATTACTGCACAGTCCTTCTCGCTGGTCACACACTCCCAGGGGTTAACCGCCCCCCGAAACCGCTCCTTTCTGAGCCTTCAGCAGGCCTGGTCCTCGGCAATCCCCCTTCGTGTTACTGCTCCCCAGTCACTTACTGCAGGAAGCGCCATCCATGGGGTGCAGTACATCCCACCGCTGCCACCAGTTGTCACGGAGTCCCTGGGCGATGCTCTGGAACTGCTCCCCATGAAGCCAGTCAGGACTCTGGGGAAGTCGCCTTTCTGTGAGCAGCCTGTCTGCAGGACACACAGCTCACACAGCTTCCACCTTCCTGGGTCTGACCTCGGAGCATTCAGCATCCTCTGCCTCTCCGTGCACTTCCCACAGCGAGTCAGCTCACGCGGGGCTCCTGGGGAAGCCAGAGGGTCCTGCACCCCAACTTCGCAGTCAGACGTGACTCTCAGCCAGCCAGTAAAACAGAAGGTTTATTAGACGACAGGAACATGGTCTAAAACAGAGCTTGCAGGTGCAGAGAACGGGACCCCTCAGCTGGGTCCATTCTGGGGGGCAGTGAGCCAGACAACCACGTCTGTACTTCACTCCATGTCCCAGCCAGCCCCAAAACTGAAAACCCCCCCAGCCCCTCCTCCTCTGGGCTTTGTCCCTTTCCCGGGCCAGGAGGTCACCTGATTCCTTTGTTCTCCAACCCTTTAGCTCTCACCTTGCAGGGGGGGAAGGGCCCAGGCCATCAGTTGCCAGGAAACAGGGTGTCGGCCATTCTTTGTGTCCAGACCCTGCACACACCTGCCCTCTAGGGCTCTGCAATGATCATACACCCTTACCCCACCCCCTAGATACTTAAGAACTGCCTAGGGGAAACTGAGGCACCCCACACTATTCAGAGGAAACATTAAGAACAGTCCCACTTCGTCACACCCTTCCCCCCACTCTCCGCCCCCCCCAGCGTAGCTCCATGGTGCCTCTTCTCCCCCCCACTCTCCGCCCCCCCCAGCGTAGCTCCATGGTGCCTCTTCTCCCCCCCACTCTCCGCCCCCCCCAGCGTAGCTCCATGGTGCCTGTTCCCCCCCTCACTCCCCCCCCCCGCGCAGCTCCATGGTGCCTCTTCCCCCCCACTCTCCACCCCCCCAGCATAGCTCCATGGTGCCCCTTCCCCCCTCTCAGCCCCCCCCAGCGCAGCTCCATGGTGCCTCTTCCCCCCACTCTCCGCCCCCCCCCAGCGTAGCTCCATGGTGCCTCTTCCCCCCACTCTCCGACCCCCCCCCCCAGCGTAGCTCCATGGTGCCTGTCCCCCCCCACTCCCACCCCTCCAGCATAGCTCCATGTTGCCTATTCCCCCCACTCTCCGCCCTCCCCAGCGTAGCTTCATGGTGCCTCTTTCCCCCACTCTCCGCCCCCCCAGTGCAGTTCCATGGTGCCTCTTCCCCCCACTCTCCACACCCCCCCAGCATAGCTCCATGGTGCCTGTCCCCCCCCCACTCCCACCCCTCCAGCATAGCTCCATGTTGCCTGTTCCCCCCACTCTCCCCCCCCCCAGCGTAGCTCCATGTTGCCTGTTCCCCCCACTCTCCGCCCCCCAGCATAACTCCATGGTGCCTGTTCCCCCCACACTCTCTGCCCCCCCAGTCACTCCATTCCTTTCCCCCCCACCCCCCCCCCCCCCCAGCGTAGCTCCATGTTGCCTGTTCCCCCCACTCTCCGCCCCCCCAGCATAACTCCATGGTGCCTGTTCCCCCCCACACTCTCTGCCCCCCCCAGTGCAGCTCCATGGTGCCTGTTCCCCCCACTCTCCGCCCCCCCAGCGTAGCTCCATGGTGCCTGTTCCCCCCACTCCCACCCCCCCCAGCGCAGCTCCATGGTGCCTGTACACACCCCAGCTGCCTGAGAGCTGCCCCCCAAAGGCCTGGGGCAGAGCAGCTCCAGCAGAGGCCGTTCCCGCGGAGCACTGGCCAGGGTAGGTGCTGTCCCATGCCCTCACCATGTGTTCGCCTGCCAGGCTCTGGGCTGGGGGCTGCGGGCGCCACCCGCCCGGAGGGGCAATGCGAGCATGGCAGCTCTGCGCCCCAGTGCACGTGAGGGATATTCTCGTCCCCGGGACTGGGCCACCACTCCTGCCCCAGGGCCAGCTGCTGCCTGGGGCTGGGGCAATTCCAGCTGTGTATGTGGCCCTTCTGCAGGGGGCAGGTCTGCCCTTCGGCCTCCCGGCAGCCGGCCCTGGGGCCACGCTGGGCACCCAGCACAGCCCCTGCCACCTGCATCTCGCTTTCCATTCTGCTGGCAGAGAACAAGAGGCGCCTGGCTGGCATGAGGTGGGGAACGTTCCCCCGCAGGGGACCCTGCCACTGAACCTGGTCGGGATGGGACAGGCTGGCTGCGGGGCTCAGGAAGGGAAGCCGGGGTGCTGGTTATGGACCAGTCCCAGGGCCGGGGGACTGGCTTGCTCAGGGATATGGGGCCTTTCACCCCGGGACCAAATCGGGACACTTACTGGCGCTGTTTGCGGGTGACTGGATTTCTCATGGGGATGGGGGCGGGAGGGGGCCCCGACTGTGGGCTGGGCTGGGGGATTGCAGAGCTGAGGCGGGTGCGCTGGGAGGCTTGGGGCTGCGTTTTGCAGCTGGGGCAGGGGGGGCACAAAGAAGCGTCACCTCCCTCCAGCTGCTGCAGGACCCCCCTGCCCCAGGCGTCGCGGGCTGCAGCCAGCCCCAGCCCATGTGCTCTTTGTGTTGCTGTGAGTTGTATTGATTTATTACTGACTGAACGGGGACATCCAACCTGGGATGACCCTGCCCTGCCCCCGGACTGGAGCTGGGCCCCAGGAGGCTGCTGGATCTGGACAGAGCCCGAGGAGGCTGGGGCAATGGGGCCGTTTGCTTGGCGTGGTCGGTGCAGCCCGAGGGGCTCCCCCGGCTCGCGTCCCTCCCGCCGTCGCGGCCCCATCCGTCACTGGGCGTGCCCTCAAACGCCCCCCAGGGAGCCCAGCCAGCGGACAGGAACCGCTGCTGCTTCCTGCCCCCCAGCAGAGGGGCCCCAGCAAATCGACTGGGACCAGGGAACTCCTGCCCCCCCTTTCCTCGGGGTAGGGTCGTACCTGCGCGCTCAGCCACAGCCTGGCAGGCCCCCTCCCCGTCTAGCCGTGGGACGCTGCATGTTTCTCTTGCCCCGATGCCCAGGCCCCTCGCGCCCTGGTTTCTTTCTCCCTTTTCAGTCTTTTTGTAAATGTGCCAAACGCTGCCGGGCCAGAGCCGCGCAGTAAAGAGCCTTTTGGAGCCGCGCCCCTCTGTCTGTGCTTGTGGGGCTGGGCTCGGCGCGGAGGGGCTGCAGCTGGTGCACCTGGCAGCTCCCACCCCCCACCCCATGGGGTGCCTCAGAGCCCTGCTCGCAGAAGAGCCAGGATTGGCCCAGGGTGCTGTCAGTCTCTGCAGCACTGGGTGGGACAGGGTTCCCCAATGACCCCCACGTGCTGGTGGCAGGGGACCAGGGAGGGGGGCATGGAATGGGGACCCACCGCAATGGGCCTGGCAGAGTCACCAGCCTGGGGACCAGGGAAAGGCCCCACCTCCATGTGCCCCTCATCCCTCCAGCTCTCACTATGGGGGGGGGGGGTGGGGGGCATGGCCATGATTGAGGGGAGGGGAAGCTGCCAGGTGATCTGGGGACCTACAGGGGCTGGGCAGTGCCAGGTGATTTGGGGGGGGGGGGGCTATGAGGGCTTGGCCCTGCCAGGTGATTTGGGGGCATATGGGGCTGGGCAGTGCCAGGTGATTTGGGGGGCATACAGGGCAGGGGAACTGCCAAGTGATTTGGGGACGTATGGGGGTATCCTGGAGTCCCAGGCTGGGGGCTCGGGCACCCACTGAGTGACGCCAGCCAGGGCTCTGGGGCAGCGTCTCCCCTCAGGGCCACTCCCCAGGGCCAGGAGCCTGCCTGGCTTCAGCCCCTCCTCCCCCTGCTCCCCACCCCACAGCGAGTCCCCCTGGACAGGACCCCTGGGGAGCCTGCCCCCCACTTGCAGATAGCCATGACTCCCAGCCAGCACGGGACACAGACGGGTTATTAGTCATGGGGACCCCAGCGTAGGACAGAGCTTGTGAGCACAGTAATCAGGGACCTGCCGCAAAGTCCAGCTCGGGGGGACCCAGAGCTCCGGGTGTCCCCTCCCCGCAAGTCCCCAACCAGATGACTGACTCGCTTCCAGGAGCCCGGCCTCCGTCACCCCCAGCTGCCCCCCTGCGGCCTTTGCCTCCTTCCTGGGCAAACAGGTCCCCTGGTCTCTGTTCCCCAGCACGCCGGCTGGCTCTGGCAGGGGAGGGGCCCTGCGGTCAGCTGCCGGGATTCAGGGTGTCGGCTGGTCATGCCTCCACGTAGGAGCCGGAGAAGGGACATGCCACTGCTTCCAGGAGCTGCTTGAGGTAAGCGCTGCCTGGAGCCTGCACTTTTGACCCCCTCCCATGCCCCAACCCGCTGCCCCTGCCCTGATCCCCCTCTCGCCCTCCAAACCCCTTGGTTCCAGCCTGGATCACCCTCCTGCACCCCCAAACACTCATCCCCAACCCCACCCCAGAGCCCGCACCCCCAGCCGGAGCCCTCACCCCCTCCCACACCCCACACCCCAATTTTGTGAGCATTCATGGCCTCACCATACAATTTACATACCCAGATGTGGCCCTAAGGTCAGAAAGTTTGCCCATCCCAACCTAGATACTTGAGTAACACACAGGGGAAACTGAGGAACACACAATATTCAGAGAAAACATGAAGAACTTTCCTAATTTGTCACAGGGGCAGGAGCACTGCCAGGTGATTTGGAGGTGTACAGGACGGGGGATGGAGGGAGAGTCTGTGGGTGCTGGGGGCAGGGGACACCTGCTCCCTTGCCCACACAAGGGCACCATCTGGATATAGTTCCTCTCTGTTAAGTCCCAGCCCCCCCCCCACCCTCCCCCCCAGTGCTGCCCCACCCAAGTGCGTGGAAGCTGCTGGAGGAGCCCCTGTTGGGGCTCAGCACCCCCACCCCAGGGAGAATTGCCGGCCCAGTTCCTTTCTGCCCATACCCCCATGGGGCTTTGTGGGGGAGAAGCGGGGCCTTTCCCTGGTCCCCAGGCTGGTGACTCACTGCCAGGCCCCTCAGCTGCTCCCCCCCGCAGCCCCTCTATCGCAAGGTGCAGGGGTGGGGAGCGGAAATGGAGGCCTGCCCTCATGTTGCTGAGGAACAGGGAAGTGTAGGGTCCCACTGGGAGGTCAGTTCAGCCACGTTGGGAATGGGGGTCACCCCAGAGCACCCCCTGCCCAGGGCCGGGCAGCCCTGCTTGCTCAGGACACCGCCCTGCTCAGGGGGTGGGGGGGCAGCAGGACGTCCCCCAGCAACGTGGGGCACTGGAGTGGTTAATGGGCAGCCTCCGCCGTGGCCAGCCAGGACCCATCTGTCCAGCCGCAGTCAGGTTCCTCCGATGCCAGCACCTAATGCCCTGCAGGGGAGAAGGGGAGGTCAGGGAGCAACTGACCCACCCCCGTCCAGAGACCCCCTCCCACCATGACCTGGCAGGGCCACGGACCCCAATGGGTGGGGCGGGGCCCCGTGGCAGAGACGGATCCTGGGTGGGGGCGAGGGGGCCCCCAGCACAGTGATTGACCCCAAGCGAGGCATGGAGGGGCCCCGCGGCAGAGCGATGGACCCTGGGTGGGGAGGGAGCCCCATGGCAGAACGACGGATCCAGGCCGGCTGGGGAGGGGGCCCCATGGCAGAGCGACGGATCCAGGCCGGCTGGGGAGGGGGCCCCATGGCAGAGCGACGGATCCAGGCCGGCTGGGGAGGGGGCCCCATGGCAGAGCGATGGATCCAGGCCGGCTGGGGAGGGGGCCTGCGGCAGAACGACGGACCCCGGGTGGGGAGGGGGCCCCACAGCAGAGCAAAGGATCCAGGCTGGGCGAGCAGAGGCCCCGTGGCAGCGACGGACCCTGGCCAGGGGCCCCACAGTCGGGGGACAGGAGTTGCCCGGGCTGCCAGGCACACCCATGGTGGAGCCTCGGTGCTGCGCCCACAGACGCGGCTGGGACACACGC